GGCCTGAGAGATGTGCCCAGCCCCCAGAACCGCCTAGGCGGCCACCCAAGCGCTGAGCGGACTGCTTTTTGAAACAATGATGTATGCAATATCATGCACTAGACCAGATTAATAGATTACCCTCTGCTGTGGGCAATTGGATAGAAATGCCAATACCCAGGTTAAGAGCAATGGATGCAGTCCGTAGGGTCCTAAGATTTTCAAAGGAATTAGAGACCATGGCCTACATTAATGTAGGTGTTCCACTATATTAATAGGTGCAGTGATGTTTTTAGGATTCTTATGAATAAATGACTTTTTGATGCATCTCCACTTGTGGTGGGGGTTGTATTTTTGGGATTCCTAGAGGTAAACTTGTATCTCCAAATGATTGGAGAAAATTGCCTTGAAACCCGTTGTGAGGAAGTTATGTGGCTAACGAACTTGATGGCAGACGTACCACCTGTTTAAAGCCCAAGCCTGCAATCTCATACTGAGTGACTGTGAAGCTTTTGCATACAAAGCGAAAGGTTAGGGATTTATTTTAGAAAATCCAATTATACCGCTTGATGGACAGTTAGTTGAGACTTATGCTTGAGATGGAGTCATAGTAGTACTCCATATCAGCTATACCCTGCATTTGGTAGAATATTGAGAAAAACCTTAAGGCACCAAGTCTGGAAGAAAGCTAGAGGGATGGGATTGAGCTCAAATGAATTTTTTCCATAGGGTGATGGGAACCCTACCTTGGATAAGGTGATCCCAAGTCCAAGGTTCAACGGGAATAACCAGTTGCTCATGTGATGTCTGATGGTAGTGTAACATAAACATTTTATCATGGAAATTTATAAAATTTCTACTTCTTGCTTAGCCATGTGGTACAATTACTACAATGAAACAAGAGGTTGAGCTTCGCTCTTAATGATTCCATTTGCCTAGATGATGTAAGGCCTAGGATGGGGTGTCGCACTGTAAGACATCTTCCATAGATTCACCAATATGAGTGTGGAAGTGGAGGCCGCTTCCTATGAGAATTGGGTATTCTCTAGAGCGCTCATGAAACAGGATTGGCACAAGGCCTTTAAATGCGCTAGCCTTTTAGACAACAACAATTTTGAAAGAGATTGTGTGGTATGTGGGACGCTTATCATTAAATGATATAGTTCAAGGTGTGTCCATTAACTGTCCTGATAAGTATTCTGCATAACACTACGTGAAGGTTCAAGTCCAAAGACACATGCACTTATGCATTCAGCTTTCCTGATATAGTTATGAGAGAGATCTGTTGTTTTGGAACAAGTAGGGGATTGTTAGCTTTTTTGTCAAAAATTAGTGTTTCAAAACAACTTTCTTTACTCTTAGTCCACTTTGCCTTTTGTGGAATCTCAGGATCACTTCTTCTTTTTTTCACCTCCCATCTTTTGCTTTATCTTCCATGTATTTGTTAATGCTTACCTCATGATTTCTTCATGCTCCTTCTTCCCTCTCCTTGTACAAACCACATGCCTATACACATGGCACCTCACTCTCTCCACTTGCTCCTCATGCTCATCCTCATCTTGACACTTGTCATATGTTTTAATAAAATATATTATTTCCCATATATTAGGCTTTTGGGATGAGAGAGAAGAGAAGAGAAGAGAAGAATGAGAGGTACGGATGAGAAAGGGGATGCTTAGAGAAAACATGGAGCTCATGGGAAGTAAGGTGTGAGGTTTTTATGGATATAGTGAGCTTTCTCTCTCTTACAAAGCTCATTTTCTCTCTCTAATTAGAGACAGTGAAGCACTAATCTTGCGTAAATTTCAAGTAACATGTTGTATTATATTTAATGATTTATTTTGACACGGGATGATCATGTATGTGCTTCATTTTGTCCCAGTCGATGTTTTAATATAGTATACAGATTAGATGATGATTTTGTAGTAAGAGATATGTTTATTTCCAATTGATGTTTATAATATCATACCAGTTGGAAAGACATATCAGTAATTTGTAATTGTGGTTTTGCAAGGGTCCCATGAGTGTGCAACTCAAGGACTTAAGAATTATTTTTCGATCTGGCTATATCCTGAGAGTGTACTCACCGAGACCTATTTGCACCTCGGATTTTACCGAGACGGGCGGTTAACCCTTCGAAGAAAACGAGCTCCTCTCATGCCTCTTGATCCCCTGTTTTTAGGTTCCGTGTTTGGAAGCTCATGTCCACCGTGATGTTTGGAAAACTATGGTAAGACCCCATAAAACTAACAAATGTCACAATCAAGGTCTCATTCTCGATCCATCATATTACGACTGACCTCTTCCCCACATATTACTAATTTAATTTGTTGATATCTTCATAATGTTCATCAACGTATACTTGAAAGTCTTCTCTCAAACTCTCCATGGCTTGATTCAGATATTGCTCGAGTTGTTGACTCATATTCTCTAAGAACCATTGTAGCATATCCTTGATTGTGAGGGTAATCTTTGGTAGCATCGTGATGTAGAGATTTTTCAAAGCTGGGAAACTAAATGATGTAGGAAAAATAGAGATAAAATAGGAAAATTAAAAAAAAAAAAGATAAAAGAAAGTACGCTCTCTCTAGGTCTGCACAAGGGGCCACCCCAAAGGTTAAAAATTTTGGTCCTCTCTCTACGCCTATGACAAAATCAACCCTTAAAGATATTTTCAGAAGATCCAAAAAAATTTCAATCAACTTTTCTGCATTGTCAAACCAAAATAGATGTATTCAAATAATTAAAGAAACCTTATAGCTAACACGACTCTAAACTCCAAAGGAACCTAATAAAATTAATCCTAGCTCTTCATCTTCTCAATCATTAGCTATAACAAAAATGTGCCAAAAATCTTCACAACAGCAAAAGACACCAATGCCCCCAAATTCTCTGCAAACAAAAGGACCAAATGACCCTAACTTCAAACTCCCAGAACCCAAAATTAAAAACGTCACTACATCAATAACATCAACAACCATAACAGTAAATGCATGTACAACATAACTAGGCTATGGAATGCCTTAGTTAATTGCAATTGCACGTGGAGTACTTGATCATGAGAGGGAGAGATGCAATGACTTACCACAATTTTGCAATTGCTATCATTTTGTTCAATATGGTAATCGATATAATTACTGAAGGATGATTATTCAAGCGAAACTATCCTAATCAATAGAAAGTGCGGCAATCATACTTACTAGCACATAACGGCTTTATTTAGCAAAGATAATCAGCAGTAATGGTCCTATGAGGCGAGACTTTTTCTAGTAAGAATCGTATTCCCCATAGTCCATACAATTTTCTATTGCATTCTAATTCAGATATGTTCCTACTTCATTGTAACGCATAGGGGATGCTGCAAAAGACTTGCTGCTATGTGCATGGATGTAGGCCTACTGCCTAGTAAGTCAATTCCAACCATTAATATTAGTGCATATGTTAAACTTGGGACAGACAGAGAAACAAGAGTATGACTCTAGCTAAACAAGACTCCACCGATATCAACTTTGGGTAGAAATTGGCTTACTCTTAAAAACTAGGTGGTTTGCCATATTACTAGCGTTTCTGATATTACAAAGTGGTGACCTCATTTTCTTTTGTACAGCACTGAACTTCCATCAAGTTGAAACAAATTTAGGATAGAAGTTAGATCTAGTTGCCAAGATAGTAGTAAGGTCTGCTTCTTTTATGGCTTTATGATGCAAGGATTCAGCTTTTCAGGATTTTATTATTTTTCTACTTGTAAGTGAATTACTTCAAACTTATTTTTAAGGAATCTGGGGATTGATTAGGTAGGGGGTTCGGTGTTCTTTAGTTTAGCAAGTTTGGCCACTTTAGATAAGCTGGATAGATGAAATTCTCTTTATACTGTATATATCTCGAGAGATGGTTGTTTTTGTCCATTTTTATCAATATACCCTGCAAGGGAGTTCATGGACCGGTAGTCTAGTGGGAAGGTTTGAGTCAGTTCTCTGTTCACTCTTCTATGTTTAAAATCACCACAATGTGCAGTGAATCCTTGCAGTTCACAAATGACCCTAGTTTTACATAGAAAGGTTTCATTTTCAAAAGAGCTTCATAAAACGTCATAAACCACACCACATATGCACTAAACAGATCTCTTCTAATAGATATCAAAGAATTACAAAATTAAGAGGTAAGGCTAGCCTCTCCAAAGCCTAAAAATAGACTCATTTTGTATGATATCCTCCTCCACAAGTAGAAGTTAAGAATTTTAAGAGAAGGTTTAGAGAGACACAATCTCCTCCAGTCTTCCTTCATTGCTATTATCACCTAAAATGCTTTAAAAATTAGAACAATGGAGCATGATGCCCAGAAACAAATTGGATAGAACAGTGCATGTAAAAAATACGAAATCAGCTAAGCTGTTGAAAGGCAATTACTCTAGCTTGTACAGGTACTATATCTAATGCAGCATGAAACTGCTTCAATAACACTGCCCGTGAAAGTAAAATATGCTTGTGTTGCATCTTTTGAAAAATCAACAAGACTGTTGGAGTTCCAAATGGTTCATAATACTCTTTTGTAATCATAACCTATTACGGGCATCAGGATCAATGTCCATAAGGTGGCAACTTGCTAACGGTTCCCTCATTTCAATTTTTATCTCCTGTCAAATTGGAACCCAATCTCGAACAACCACAATGGCTGATTCCCTACAGAGGGAACAGGCCACGACAGTTGCTCAGTGAGGTTGCCAGACAGATTAGCAGACCAAATTTCTTCCCTCAGTAACCATTCGATGCCTTTCATTTTCCCCATAGAATGAAGATGGTACCTGAAGGAAAGTGCCAATCAATCCTTGAAAGTCCTTCACTGGATAGGTGGCTGTAACAAAATCTAAGCCAGTTTTTTTACTTTAGCCACACTGTAGATATCCCTCTCCCAAATTAAAGTTGTTCTCACAAAACTAGCAGAATAAAATGTAGAAGATTAATCTTATTAAGGCTTAATATGCAGTGAAAGTTCTTGTATTGGGTTTCAAACAATACCCTTACCTTAGCTTTTAACCAAATGTCCAGAAGCTCTTTGAATTCTTCATCTTGTTTCCTTGTTAACTAGTGGACTTATCACCAGGCTCCAAAAACATCTCAATTTATGTATCTCTTTCCTCAAAGTGTGATGAAATATTCATTCATGGAACGATAAAAAAGGAAATCACCGTAGCCATTTAATAAACCCATATGACAAAACCATCTCATCAGTAGAGGGAGCAGGATGGCAAGAAAGAAAAAAGCCTCCCAGTTGATGTTAGTCCAAGTTGAGAGAGTCTCAAATTCTTGATAGGTCCACCTGAGGCATGCCTCCTCGGCCCTGAAGGGAAGATGCCATTACTAGTTTTGCATTGGCAAGCTATGTTAATGCTAGTTAGCACTCAGTTAGCAAGGAGCATATCTAAAACTACATAGGATATTGATATAGTCTTTCTTATATTACTCCAATAGTACCTCTCCGTTAAAAAATTTCTCATGAGAATGTGTCCTATACCAGAAGCACCAACAACATATTCAATCCATGATTTTTTGTCCTCCCACCCAATCAAAATTTCTGGAAACTACAAAATGATGAAATAAAAGCAACCTACCTAACTTTACTGAAATGAAAATTCAACTCATTGAATACCTAATGAATATCATCAAGGAAAAGTATGAAGTAACCCTACCTCAAGTAATCTCATCCTCCAGATACACTACAATCTTTATTCCTTGATCATAGAGGCCAGCGTTATAATACTACTCAGTATTTCAACATGTTTTCATTTGCTAGCTTCCGTTAATTGGATTTCATTATCCACTCCATCATTAGGTAGATTTTCAACATCACTTATTCCTTCTGATGCCCCTTCATCCTCTTTTGCATTGTCACTAGAATCACTTGGTACATCTCGGGCTATTCTCAGACGAAGTGATCTTCCATTTAACTCCTGCAGTAAAATATGTACAATTATAAATTCTACAGTAACTCCTTGAATGGAGAAAAATCCATTGGAATTCAAGTTCCCAAATCATTATAGATAAAACCTGAACTGACAAAATTGGCAAAAAAGAACAAATTTCAAAATCCAATTGAACATTACAAGAAAACCCAAAGCAGGTTTACATAAATTTCATAATCCAATCGAACTTTAGCAGATACCGAAATAAAATTTTGGCAACACCAAATTTCACAACACAATTGAACTTGTAAATTCCAAAGAAACAGTGAAAATTCATGATGAATAGGAGTGTGAACAACCTTTCCCTCAAGTGTAGCTACAGCTGCCTCTGCATCTTCTTTTGAAGCAAAGCTAACAAAACCATAACCAGCTGGTTTCCCCTTTGTTCCCCCATAGACTACTCTAGCAGAGAGGGCATTACTGTGTTTTGTGAAGAATTCCCTGAGATCACTAGATCTCACCCTCCAATCTAGATTACCAACATAAACCTTATGCCTTGTTTCCACAGTTCCCACAGGAGGAGAGATTTTTTTTGACGAAACGGAAGGAGAAATTTTCTTTGCTTTCTTCGCAAGTTCGGCCTTAATGGTCCGGCCCCCAAATTCCTTTAAATTCAAAGAGCCAAATTGAAACAGAAAGTGAGCCAAACCCATAAAACAAATGAGTAAAGGTAACAATAATTGTGATAGATTTGACTCACATATGAATTCAATTTAACAAGAGCTGCAAGAGCTTCATCCTCTGAACTCATCATAACAAACGCCATCCCTCTGTTTCTACCGGCTTTGAACTTCATTAGCTTCAGCCCAAAACAAACCACAACCAACCAAATCAACCAAGAGAAAGAAAACCAGAACTCCCATATCAATTAAAAACTACCCATATCAATAAAGAGATAGAAAACCGTAACTACCCATATCAATTAAGAGAGAGAAAACCAGAACCTACCCATAACAATCAAGAGTGAGAAAATCAAAACTCTACCCATATCAGTTAAGAGACAGAAAATGCAACAAACGAAAATGTAAGCATAGTTACTCTGAAAGAAGGAAGTTTCTCCCACCTCAACGTCTATTACTGCCCCACACTGTTGAAAGAGGTTCTTAATATCCTCTGAAGTGCAAGTCCATGGCAAATTAGTGACGTATAGTCTCGTCTTTAAAGTAGTGACATTGCTTTCAAGGGTTTTCTCAGAGCTCTTTGGTTCGGGTTCTGGTTCTGGGGTGTTGGATTCTTGGTGCGTAGCGCAGAGAAGAAGGGAGAGATGCCTGCTCCCCTTTTTGTTGATCGATTGAAGAGGGAGATGGAAGTTTATCCAGAAGCAAGGCCTGCGTTTAGAGAGAGAAAGGGGGAGTGAGAGAGAGGAGGGAAGGAATGCTGGTGAACGAATGAGGAGCGAGAGTGTGGATAGAGCTGCCATACCCAACTGTGATGAATCCCCCCGTGTTACTGCTGAACGGTATTATATTAACCGGACATGGCCAGGAAGCGATTTAACCGGCGTAACCGGTTATTGCTGAGCGATATTATATTAACCGGACATGGCCCGGAAGCAATTTAATCGGTTTAACCGGTAAACTGCTGAGCAATATTATATTAACCGGACATGGCTTGAAAGTGATTTAACCAACTTAACTGGTAAACTGGTTGACTCAATCGCTCTAACCGGGCAAGTTCTTAACAATAAAAAAAATGTGTTGAAAACAATAAAAAAGATAAAAAAAAATCTACTAAAATATAAAAAGCATATAAAGAATGTAATTAAACAAAACAGACTTAAATGAAGTTGAAAATTAATGAAAAAAAGTTAATTTTAACGAATCGATTTGTGTTTAGAGGTATTTTTAAATTTTATTGAAAAAAATAGGAAAATATAAAAGTAAGTATCAATGACCAATTTTTTTTTTAATCTTTACCATAATGTAAAGAATATTACAATAGTGTTAAAAAAATCGACTTGACCAACTCTTTTGTCAAAAGAAAATGAAAAAACACTTAAGACATATATAATATAGCACTTTTTTTTATCAACTAAGTAGTAAATGGTGTATTGGTTAGCGGGTTTGATAATAAAGGATTTTTTAAGAGAGGATTCTAATTCGATTCTGGGATTCCAATGGGCAAATAAATTTTTTGAACCAACAAAATGAATTTTTAAAAGAAATAAAGGAGTTTTTTAAGAGATGATTCTAGTTCAATTATGGGATTCCAATGGGCAAGTAATTTTTTTGAACCAACGGAACGAATTCTTAAAAGAAATAAAAGACTTATTTAAGAGAGGATTCTAGTTCGATTCTGGGATTTCAATGGGCAAGTAATTTTTTTGAACCAACAAAACGAATTCTTAACCATGATTCATATAAAACTTAATCATTAAAGCAACCAATAAACCATTCTAATATATTTGATATAAATTTGAAGTAGTATTTTATTTAAAGTTTAAAATATTGGTTGATCACCAAAACTACCCAAAACCGGAACTGGCTACTTCTGATCTAACCGCTAACCAGTCGGTTAGATCGACCGGTTTTGCGAACACAGCTTGAGATACAAGAACTATGAAATAACGGATGAGCGTTATTTCCTTGATGCTTATTTCCTTGATGCTTCATTTTAGGACTTGGGGGTGCATATTTGGAAAGTATCTATTGTAAAATTATAGCAAAATTTCCATTAAGACTAAGAAAGAAATACAAATTTGGGATACATGTCACTTATATATTGGTATTAGGATCTCAAATAAATCCTAGTTTATCTCTTCTTTTTCTTTTCTCCCCCAAAATTGTAGAGAACTCCAGCAATAGCTGCTCTAGGTGATGGGAAAATTGAGTTTGATTTTGCTCTAACTTTTCTGCTACAAGAATATGTGGTTTAAGAGAACTCTACAACATGTAGAAATGCAGGTCTTTTAACAAATCTATTTTTAAGATGGATTTTAAGATTTAAATTTTAAGGACATGTAATCTCTAACATGGAGATCATGAATATAAAAAATAAATACACTTTAAAACTAAAAATAATAATTCTAGTAAGAAAAACATTTGTACCGTTAGTTTCCATAGTTTTAGACTGCATATATATAAATGCGGTCCAGCGAGGGAAACAACTTTCCTTCATTTAATACATCTTTTATTTATTTTTCCTCTTTACAGATATTAAATCATCACCTACCCACCGTCAAATGAAAATTTCCAAGCCCTCTCTCTACTCATAACTCCAATACTTGACTTTTTACTAAAAACTAGAAGGTGGATGCAGATGCTCAGGGTTGGGATTTGTGGTGGAGGGAGTGAGAGAGAGAGGGATGGTTGTTGGCTATCAGGTGATCATGAGCGTTGCAAGGGAAGAGAGAGAGAGGGGATTTGAAGATTTCAAGGCAGACAAAAAAAAAAGAGGTTAAAAGGACATGCCTTTAACTAGACAAGATGTTTTGGATTTCTTCAGTTTCTCATGGTGAGAGAGTGAAGATATTGATGACAAAAGGAATTATTTAGGGTTTGTAAGGGAAGCTTTCTATACCTTCCCCCAGGGTTTTACTAGGTTTAAGGCAATGAAAGTATTAGTATTTTGGTTTTGGAAAAGGCAAAAGTTTATATAAGGTTGCAACTTTAAAATGTAGAATCACAGATGCACCTCAAAAATATATCGAAAATATTGTTTTAATGTTGAAAAAATACTCTAGTCGATTATTTCGATATCGAGCTGTATGAATGCGAAAAAAAAAAAGTTTTTGAATCCCTGAAATAGTGCATCTTGCAACAATTATCTGGACCGTCCATTTTCAAGATTTTCATATATTTATAGATCTACTTTATTTTAACAATTTTTTAGATTTAAAATTTTCTAATTAGGTATGAAAATAGATTTTAAGATAATACTAAGAATTTTTTACAACAAAATTACATGTTATGATAAATTTTTAAGGTGCGTTTTAATTGGATTGTTTAAGATTGCAACCTTATAAAAACTGCACCATCTGGAAAATACTACAGAGTATTTAAAAATATAATTTTGAAACTTTCCTATGTTTCTAATAAATAGATAGAGATGGTTTTAAGTTTTAGTCTCACATTCATGAAGAAGAATGTGGATAGAATGATTTTTATATGGTAACACTCTCATACCATAAGTTTACGGAACAAATGAGAGAGTGTGAGTGCATGTGTTGAGTACACGAAGCATGCAACTTGTACCCATGCGTTGGCCCAATGGCAATTGAGGTGGACTTTGTATTTCACTTCCTCGTATTGGTACAGAGGCCCTTGTGATCAACTAACTGTTGGCCATGGGTTCTAGCAATTAAAACTGTTGGGCTGATCTAGCCTTTGGATGGTGGGTTTCTAACAGTCATATGCAATAGTGAATAGATACTATTGTTCAAATGAATAGTCACATCCAAAGGGTGGTAAATATGTTTGAATTTCCCATTTTATATGCTCCTTTTAGTCCTCTCTCTCTCCCCCTTACTAATATATCTCCTCTCTCCCTCTCTCTTTCAAAATTCTAATACTCTTTCTCTCTCTATTATAACGCAATTCTAATATACGAAGTAAGCTTCTGGTTGCATGAAACTAATAAGTGAATTGAGACCTTCTATTTTCTTATATCTCGAGGTCAATTTCATCTATTTTTATGCACATTGTTTATTATATATCAAAAGGGCAAATATTGTCTAGAGAAAGTGTTATTGCATATGCCAAAAAACAAGAAGGATTTTGTATATTTTTCTGCACTTATTCCACATAAACATATCCAATTGTCAAGATAATCAAATTAAATTTCACAATCTTTGAGTCCCCTGATTATAACTTGCGACTCATACACTTGAGAGTAATAATTGGCAAGTTTTCAATAAATTTAAAGTTCAAATAATTTGAAATAAGAAATCGCTTGTTACCAGATTCCTCAGTGATATATCATGTTTCAAGAAGTTTCCAAAGTTCTCTTATTGTTACCACTGCATGTTGTTTATAAGATCAACCAAATGCATTGAGAATGTGGCTCTTGCATAATAGTTATCTTTCATCCATTTTTATAAAGAACTGCGCCTGCTCGTTGTTTTAATTGTTGGATTTATAAAACTGTTGGGTTGATCTAACTTAGATTCATTGACAATGTAAGCCACTTTTAAGGAAGTTCTTCCCCAGTGGAGTCGCCAAAGAATTGTTTTGCCCAACATGTATCTTTACTATAATGGTAAAGACAGAAAAAAAAACAAGAAAACCTGATAATCCAACCAAAACTAGAGGACATTATCACAAATGGGGAGACGAGTCCAAATTTTATTGAAACGTAGGTTAGAGTATAAGAAGAGTTCTAGATGCCTTTGAGGTCACTTGATTCTTTTACATCGAAGTTCAGTTAAGCGAACAAAGAACACCCAACTAGATTGAAATTCACCCAACTAGATATAATTACAAAGAAAACAATATATTTGAGGGGCTCAGTTCAGTCTATGGAGACGCACTTGAGCATATATAGAAGAGTAGGCTTTCACTGCAGCTAGTCAAGAATGAGATTTTCGCTCTCCTTCTTACCGTAAGTGCACGTTTATCGTAATAATCGAATATTTAAGAATGACCATTCCCATTCTCCTATTGTTTGGAGTCCTTTATATAGACTTTTTTTGGGTGGGAAGATTTTTTGTGATCTAATCATTTTCCAACTTTAAATCAATGACGGTTTCCTTTCTATGCGGTCATCAACATCCTAGTCACTCGGTTTCCAGTTGAAAGTCAAATTTGAACTTCACTCTTCCCTTCTTATTTCTAGGTGGGAAGATTTTTTGTGATCTGATCATTTTCCAACTTTAAATCAATGAAGGTTTCCTTTCTATGGGGTCATCAACATCCTAGTCACTCGGTTTCCAGTTGAAAGTCAAATTTGAACTTCACTCTTCCCTTCTTATTTCTAGGTGGCAATATCTAATTTTTGCTTACTTGCTATTATCTTATAAAATTACGTTTTTTGAGTTTGTTTCTCTTCACCTTTGTCCCCTTATCTCGTACTCAGTTCGAAGTTCACCAATCCCTTTTCAGTTATCTGCACTGGGAGCTATTCCTCTTTCGAGGATTTTCCTTGTCGATAGTCTTATCACACTATTATCCCATTCTCTTCTGCTTGCTTTTGGTGCCCGGTTACATTTTGCTGTTACAAAACACACCCAAACACCCACACACACATATACACATATATTAATGAAACATGTGAAGCAAATACATCTTACTAGACCACATAAGGTGTGCATCCATGTGCCCCTAGATGTTTAACTTGTCTTTTTTCATCTATGGTTTGGCCCTTGAGAGATTGGAGATAGAATCTAAACAAAACTAAGGGTCTATTTGACAACACCCTAATATCCTAATATTTCAAGATAATATAGAATCTACTGTAATTTGAATTATGTAAGTTATTATGCCCTGTTTGATAGGACCAAAGTCTATCTTCTTATATTCAGATGACCT